CAGTAGGCAGCGACCTTAAAGGCATTACTTGGAGCTTCGCTAGAGGATTTATACCATCCCACCACAAGTCAGGTGTCAAGTGTAGCAGTGGCGCACCTCGAAGGTGTCAAACTGGAAGCATGTGCAGGCAGTAGGCAGCGACCTTAAATGCATTACTTGGAGCTTCGCTAGAGGATTTACACCATCCCACCACAAGTTAGGTGTCAGGTAAAGAAGTGGCGCAGCTCGACGGTGTCGAACTAGAAGCATGTGCAGGTAGTAGGCAGCGACCTTAAAGAGGTTCGCTACAGGATTGACACCACAGCACGTAAAACTATTGTCATCTCACCTTCGGTAGGCCTATATCCGAGTAATCTTTCTCTGACATCAACATCAGCGCGTCCAARTCGATTTCGTTTTTCTACAAAAGTAATAAAGAACCGTTAAGGGAATCAAATATTTATATACCCTGACACCGCCCTGCATGTACTAATATCAATCCGCCGGCAGGACCAACGCGGGTCCGGTTCGAGTCCTGCCGGGCTCAGTGTCGTATGTAAGTAGACTCGTTTGTTGGTTCTCTACTGTGCTTCGAGGGTTTTCTCCGGGTTCTCTGGCTTTCCTACCTCCGCAAAAATCAACTTCTAAATTCCAATTGGAATCCAGTGAAAGAAAACCAAACTGTGGAATCCACTGTTCATCCCTGATTATTATTATAATTGTATCATCACTCTATAATCCCACATGAGTAACTATTGTATTATTTTCAAATTCTCTTTCCTGTCCAAATTAAAGATTAATTTGGATTGTTTCCATTCGCATTCTTTCGAGGGAAAACTATGACTTATGGAATCAGTCTAGTATAGTTTGGGATGATATAATTCATCTGCAATAGGACTACATGTCTGTCCAATTTGGAAGTAATTGAATTCAAAAAATTCCTCTGACTGCCAAATTGGACTCGACATATTGGCCTCTTCCAATTTTGTCAGTCVGAGGAATTTTTTTTCATCCAATTATTTCCAAATTGGACAGCACGTAGTCCTATTGCCTATACTTATTATTATTTACTATTTGTTTACCTGAAATAAAGTTAGATGACTCGACAATGACAGTCGTTCGAGGAACGTCTGTAAAGTGTCTCCAGGGGCTACCCCAATAGCCTCTGTATCTGAGTTCTGAGTCGACTCATTGGTACCGCTCACCATCTGTGATGAAGGAGCCGGTGGTACTGCCGCTACAGGAGCCGTGGACCAACCAGACGGGACAGACGGATCTGAAGACGACAGTTAAGAAAACATTCAGCGAGTTTAAAAATACACGATATTTTATATATTTTGATATTTTGAACCGGTTCACCAATTCGAGAGTGCGAGTATCATGGGATTAGGTCAATAAATAGTTGTCGTACGTATGGGAAACATATGGTACTGACTTACAGCAAGTTACAATACATGTCGTAACATTGAAATGGTTTCCTATAAGAATGGTTATCGCATGAGTGGGAAACATACGGTACTGACTTACAGCAAGTTACAATACGACATGTTGTAACATTGAAATGGCTTCCTATAAGAATGGTTATCGTATGAGTGGGAAACATACGGTACTGACTTACAGCCCGTACACGGTACGACATGCTGTAGCATTGAAAAGGCTTCCCATGAGAAGGGCTATCGTATGAGTGGGAAACGTACGGTACTGACTTACAGCCAGTACACGGTACGACGTGCCGTAACATTGAAATGGCTTCCTATAAGAATGGTTATCGTATGAGTGGGAAACGTATGGTACTGACTTACAGCACGTACATGGTACGACATGAAGTCACATTGAAAAGGCTTCCCATAAGAATGGTTATCGTATGAGTGGGAAAGATACGGTACTGAATTACAGCCCGTACACGGTACGACATGCCGTAACAATCAAATGGCTTCCCATTGTCTTCCAGTAATTCATCCAATGTCAACGTAGTTGCTGATACAGTAATRGATACGGCTACAGTACGGCTACGAATTTGCCGTATCATTTCCCACTCAAACGAAAACCACTCTACGTAATAAGAGCTACTAACCAGATGGAAAGGAATAGCTCCAGACCCCATGCTGTTGACCTCCATCTGAAAAAAAAGAAATGATGTATGAGAACAAGCTTAATAATAAAAAGAAAAAAAAGAAAAAGAGAAAAGAAAGAAAGAAAGAAAACAAACTATTATGCGTACAATTTCTTCATGGATTAAATAAAATCCCTCTAGTGTAGTTGGTAGAAGTGTAGAAAAGTTGTACTAGCAGTGGCAGTGTGGTGGTAGTAGTGAAAAAACTAGTTACCCGCTAATCGACAAATCTCTAAACCTACTTACCTCCACCAATAAGCGGCGAGATACCAGACATAGATGGTAAAGGACTAGCTGTAGCTCTACGACAAGCTCTCTCAGTACCTATCGGCCGCAAATTGGGTTTATCAGCACCATCGTTGCTATGGACGTTACTACCCGGTGCCAACGAGCTTCCAATAGGAGATATCGTCGGAGAACTCGACGCCGATGACGTAGTTGTAGTAACAGGAGACTCGGTAGTACTTGGTGGAGAAGACGAATTAGGGTCCTGATTCAGAGGTGTAAATAATGCTCCTGGGGTAGTTATGAAGACCGGCTGAGAAATTTGATCCACTGGTGCTGAGGAATTCTGGGAAGGTTCAGGGTTCTGGGGTAGACTGTTGGGTGGTCTATTACTCGGATGAGAAATATCTTGCCATAGACTTGGACTCAAGGTCTGACCGACGTTCGACARCAGATTAGTAATMGACTGAGGRAGATGGGACGATAGGTTTGGACTCGTCCCTGATACCGATGTCACTGTCAGAGGCGGTGATATCTGWGGACCGTTATTCAGWGGTCCCGTCGTGGCACTACCAGTATTGCTCCCAGGGCCCCTTCCACTAGCAACTCCCATGGTGACGGAAGAGTAGCTTAAAGGTCCCTTTGGAGCTCTCCGAGATTGACTTGCAGTAGTAGAAACCGTCGTCTTGCAAACCTTGTCTGGAAAGAGTTGCCGTTTCGCTGGYGTCACTCTKGGTTCGTTACTACTTGATGACGTAGTGACCGTGGTGGTGGTTGTCGTGGTAACGATGCCAGCACTTCCAGAGGTCTTTCTGATAAATGGAGCACTTGAGGTCGTCTTAACAACACCATCAAGGACTCCGTGAGATGCAGGTACTCGACCAGGAGAGGTTTTCTTTCGATGAGAATTCTGAGCAGTCGAGCCCCATCTAGCCGAGCTAGGGATATGGGAGGTGGTTGAAGGGACTGTWGTCTTTGATGTTAACTTAGCAAGTCTACTCGCTGTTGTTGCATGGACTAATGCTGCTCTTGAAACCGAYGCTCGGGTGAATGGGATGGTAATGGGTGCRGATACACCCGTCGKCTGGGTTTGAGGCTTAGTCGTCACACCAGGAATACACGAGAGAGGATGGAAAAGCTGAGGTTTGGATGATGTAGGGGAGGTGTTAGAATGAGTGGTTGATGTAGTAGTGGAGGCTGTAGTGAAGGTAGTGAAGATGGTAGTAGATCTTGGTGAAAGGGGTGTTTTTCGGCGTGGTAGTACATCATTGATGTCACACTCAGGATCTTTGACAAGAGCAGATATTAACTGATGTGCCTGACGGGTAGCGTCTGCTGAACCCCTGTAATAAWATCAATTAAATATCAATTAAATGTCAATAAATTTCAATTAAATATCAATGTAATATCAATCAAATATCAATATTACTTTTCGTTAAAAAAAAAGAATTTAGATTGGAGTTGGGGGACTCATCCCAGAAAAAATTGCCACATATTCCGAAGGGTTTCCATGTCTTTTATGTCTCGACACAGTTTCCATTACGTCTTAAAAACAGTTTTTTTAAAATATTATTTTTTAGATATAAATAGTTGTTATCAGGATCGCTTGATTGTTTTCATTCAAAGTAAACAAAAAGTCATCGTCGTCATCATCATCACCATCATTATCATCATCACCATCATCAAAGCCAAAATATTTCTTACTCCTAGATCCTCTACACTAGGCCATGATGACATAGTATTGTAATGCAATGCTACCCAAAATCCAAGCCCTGACCTACTATTAACGTTGCAATAGACCCTTTGCAGCTCAGTAATTACGTTTTGATTAATTCACTGAGAGCAAATGAATGTACATCTTGATTCCCATGGGTGATGTATACTGGTTAGCAAACAAACTTTCTACGTGTTTCGAGAGATCGTAATAAAACTGCATTTTGTAACACACTGGTTACACATTGTTTCATTCAGTTCTTTACAAGTAGCTAAAAAGAATCACCAAGTTAAAATAAAATTTGATCACCAGTACAGACACGTGACTGCCAATTACAAAGGGCCTATGCTACTTTAAAAGTGACGACAAGTGTATTGACTTACTTGATGGTGATAATGCAGGTTCCAGTTGTCTTCTGCCGACTCGTATCAATATCGATATGAGCACCAGTGGTATCTCGGATAGCATTCACGTTGCACCCACCACGCCCGATCACTCTGCTCACCACTGAAGAAGAGACTGGCATTTTCTTGGACCTGAGAAATAATGCATTCMATGACTTGCTAAATTTGGACCACCATCAATACAAAGCCCTTATTAATACTCCAGTTTTGAGTTCTCTTTTGCTCAACCTTAGCCTTAGTTATGCATTATAATATTCAGCTTTTCAACCAAAACCCGTGGCATTTTAATCAACTTGTATTGTTCCGTAGTACGTACATTCCTTACTATACAATGGGCCTTAAGATGCTGACACACGGTGCAACATCGCATGCAATATTGCACGCAACAGGACTGTTGCAGCATGTCTACCCCAAACTTGTTGCACACAACGTTGCATGCAACAAATCTGAAGTTGAATCCCGCTCTACTCTTGCAACATTGCGCGCAACAAATTTCATCATGTGAACATGGCTGCAACATTACCTGCAACATTTTGAAATTTCCAGCCAATCAGCTTGCACCAAATTTATAACTGCTGACCAAATATCTTAACATAGYAGGCTGACACAAGCGATGTTGCATGATTTTGTTGCAATGTGTGTCACCCCGATTCAAATTTGTTGCTTGCAATGTTGCACCGTGTGTCAGCACCTTTACAGTCAAAATGACTCAAACTTACCCTCCTAGGTTCCATTAATGGTTTCRTCATACGAATAATGAAATTTACCACTCTTTCTGAGAATACCAAGATTCGGGATTCAAAATAATAACCGATTCAAAACTTGAATTCTGGTTGGATTATGGTTTTCCATATATGTATGTTTTSCATGTATTCTCGGAAAGAATAGTAAATTTCAATATTCGAATAATGAAACCAATAGAGGGACCCAGGGGGTAAGCTTGGACCGTTTTGATTGTAATGAAAGAAAATAACACATTTGCAAACCATCAAGGCTAAGGCTGAGAGGCAAACTCAAAATGGGAGTATTCCACACCACAGGGTGACCATAATAGGAATTACAAGAGACTACGCGTACGAGTTACGGACAAACTTAAAACAATGACAATAAATTAAAAGAATAAAACATGACTTTTTTTGCTTACAAAGTAGTCTCTGACCTTCTGACAACTTCCTTCCATCCATCTTCATGCCGTTTGCCTTTCTTTGGACTGGGAAGCAAAGACATCTTGGTAGTGGAGGTGGTAGTTGTCAAGGTGACGGCCAAGCACTGGGCGGCKGCTGTTGCTACGGTGATGGGGGAGAGCTCACTGTGGGGGGTAGTCTGGGTGATGATTGTCGAGGCTACAGCTTTGGTGATCTCTGCTGTGGTAATAACGCAGGTTTTATCCCGAGGTCTRGTGATAAACGATTGATCATTAATAATTAGTAAGAATTTATCTTCATCAATCATTGTCATCACCACCTTCATCACCATCATCTTCATCGTCATCATATATTTCTTCATCATCAATGATTGCATTCACCACCATCATTTTTATCATTATAGTGCAGTTTTCATATGACCGTGAAAGGTTTACGGCACGAACACGGTCGTGGCACGCAAGCTATGCGCCAAATCAATCACATTGCACGAGAATTTACTCTCCATCCAATCAAATACCCGGAACACGGCATAAACATGGCGCGGACACGGTCAAGCCAAGCTCAAGGCAATGCAAGACCAATCATATTTCGCGTGAAAAAAGTCAGCCAATTAAAATTCTAGAAAGCATCACGGTCACGGCACGTCACGCTTACGGCACTGAGCTTTTCACAGTCATACGAAAACTGCTCTAATTGCCATTATCATCATCACCACTGCCTTCATCATCAATCATCACCATCACCACCATCAACATCATCTATCATCATTACCACTGCCTTCATCCACCAACATCTCCATCACTTCCATCATTGCTATCATCTTTATAATCATCATCATTATTCATCATCATCATCCCATTGCTCTGTCCATCAAGCTCTTCACTGCATTGTTTTAATAGCCACAAGGCAAGTCCCTGTTAGGATGTGTAGCAAGCTACATACTTAGTACTGGAAGTAGACGTGACAGCAGCAGTGATAGCAATAGTAGTAAGGGTATCTAGCGATCCTGTAGATGACTTCCTTCCCCTCTGTTCCTGTCCTRGAGGTGAGTACGACACTGGTATAAAATTGGATTGGGATTGACTGACTGCTGGTGCTGTTTCATCTAAAGAATATCATTTCAAATCAGCAAAATTTAAATACGTAAAAAATAAATTAAAATAAATATCAGGGTTCGTGCTGAAGTAACCACTTAAAATTCAAGGACTATTCAAGGAGTATACAAGGACCCAAAAATGAATTTTCAAGGAGTATGTTCAGCTAAATATGCTAAGGTTTTACATGGTTGCACATGGCCGACTTTCAGATTTTCCGATCTTTCTGACTAGATCTATTTTAGAACCATGCAAGAAATGATCAAAGCAAAAATTCAAGGAGTTTTCAAGGAGTTTCGCTAAAATCGTAAAATTCAAGAGCTTTTCAAGTGCCCTTGAAAACGTGAATTAAATTCAAGGAGTTTTCAAGGAGTTAAGGAGTAGCACGAACCCTGATGATTGCGCATTAGGGGGGGTGGGAGGCAGTGTTTGCCCCTTTTGTGAAGGTTGTTAATAAGATTTTTTTGATATTCATTCAGATGATTGAAACATGTCACACATAACCCATGCGCTACGGTTCTAAGAGAGTGCTGTAGAGTAAGACAGTCATCTAACCTTCACTGTTATTGCTTCTTTCATCATGGTCTTCAAGGATGATATTATCCTTTTCATCTTCATCCTCATTCTTGTGGTTCTCTTTATCRTGATCCTGCCTCGACTTCTTCTTCTTCTTCTGTTTCTTCTTGTCCCTTCGGCGCGCTGCTGCTGCCTTCTTCTGCTCTTCTCTTTCCTTCTCCAAGTCAATCTCTTCTAGAAGGATGGAGGCATTCTTGTTGGCTTCTGCAGCCTGACGATCTTTAGCTGTTACAATGATCTCCATGCATTGATGACATCTTTTCAGAAGATCCTAATAAACACAAGAGCATTATTTATTTCAGTTTACTCTGTGAATCAGCCCTCTCCTAACTTTATCAACTAATAGCTTTTCTTAGGTCCCAACTAAGTTTCATAGACCTTTCTAACAAGAAAAAATATTACCAACATTAAAAAATATAGTGAATCAAATTGAGCTGATCTTTGCAGTATATGAAGCAACTTATGCAGCTGCAAATTGAAAAATTCTGAGTCTTGAACGGGATTTGAACCCGTGCCCTGSCGATTCCGGTGCCATGCTCTAACCACTGASCTACCAAGTGTAATATAAGACTTCRAGGACACATTATGTGGGTTTATCRGCCGATTTATTAATGCCCCGTCCACACTATGCCGGATAAATTTGAATCCGCAACTTTCACACCGAAACCGAAAAAAAGTTTTCCTTCCACACATGAAAACGGATAAAATGTTTCGCGTCCACACTAGTCCGATCAGAGGCGGCAAAAACGTTKCATTGCACATCTGAGCATGTGCATCAAAGCTGAAATTGAGCCTGCGGTGAATTTTTAGTCTATGTTCCTATGACGTCATCGTATTCGAACAATTTCGGGTGTGAAATGTTCTCCGTCCASACTAATACGGCTAGCCGGCGTTTTCAAATTGTTCCACTCTGGAGACCGTATTCGAAAAAAATTCGTTTTCGGTGAAGAATTGTTCCGGATTCGACCGGACTAGTGTGGACGGTAGGCCTAACCGAATAAATAAAAATTCGGATTCAAATTTATCCGGCATAGTGTGGATGGGGCCTGAGTGGTAGTGTATATATATCGAAAGTGGAAGAACCACTTACAGAGAGTGCAAAACTTGTTTACCTTATCTGAGATGGTAGAGATAAAGCGAGTACAATCAGAGTCAGAAGGATAYTGATGAACATGTTTGACCAACCACTTCACCACTTTAGTATGTCCCTTTCTGAATGCCGCCATCAGGACAGTGACTTTACGATTGTCCTGACTGTCGACATCTGCACCATAGCTGAAGAGCAGCTGACACACCTCCAGGTGACCACCTAAGAACAAAGGTCAAGGTAAGTATACAGTTTTACTACTTTTTTGTTTCATCCACTATTTTTATTTTCATATTCCTGCTCCGAGCTTTCGGGTTACAAATGGTACATTGTGCTAATTCAATAGAGACTGTGGAAGGACTGTTTCACATAGTTACGTGCCATTTATTAATAAGATCTGCATGTTAATTTCGTGTGTTTTTAACACAGGGTGACCAACAATAGACCCTTTTCGAGTTCCAAATTACCGCTGTGTTTCTTGATTACTGACTCATTTACTCAGGCTTAGCCTCGATTTTGTGAAGAATATTCACGTGTTCCAGTCAAGGTCCGTCAAGTTTCAAAGTGTTTGTATTGTTGAAGTTGTGCATTCTTTACTTTACCGTTGGTATTTGTGAATATTTAGACACTGATACAAGGCTAACCCTGTGCAAATGAGTCTGTAATCAAGAAACACAGCGGTAATTTGGAGCTCGAAACTGGACTATTCTTTTACTAACCATTAGCGGAGAGCCACAAGGGTGAGTTTCCTTTTTTGTTCTTAACATCGACCATGGCACCTTTGGACAACAAAAGCTCGCAGAATTTATAATGACCCTTGTCTGCGGCAATAGTGAGGGCAGTGTCSCGTGATGAAGGAACAGGTGGAGCGTTGACCTCTGCTCCTTTGTCTAGGAGTATGCGGCCCACATCAACATAGCCACCAGATGCCGCTTCCATGAGAGGAGTGAGGCCAGTCTGGAAAATGAATAAAAATAAAGGAATAAATGGATTTATAGTTGATCAATTGGAATAAATAACGCCTTGGACATTATTTTATTCACATCTCTATCCTTGCAAGGTCACTGCTGTCCTTGCTTTGTCGCACAGGCATCTTTCAAGATGGTGCAAGGAACTGTGAAGGGGATTATTGATAGAATGGGATGAATGAGATGAATGRAATGGATGGTTAAATAACATGAAAAGACGGATGAAAAGGACAGTAACAGAAAAGGAAGGATAAATAGACGAAGAATAAATGGTTGAAAGGAGGGTAAAAAGGCAAGGAATGACAAAATGAATAAATAAATGGACATATGGATGGATGGATGGATGAAGTGAATGGATGGATGGATGGATGGATGGATGGATGGATGGATGGATGGATGGATGGATGGATGGATGAATAAATGAAATGAATGAATGGATGGATGGATGGACTGATGGATGGATGGAGGGACAGATGGATGGATGAATGAAATGAATGAATGGATGAATGAAATGAATGTACGGATGGATGGATGGATGAAATGAATAATTGGATGAATGAAGGAATGAACAAACAGAGTGATGAATGAATGTATTAGTAAGCAAGTAATAGGTATTACAAGACAATCACAGACATTCTTTTCCACATACCTTAGCACGATGTTCAATGTTAGCTTTCCTCTCCACCAGAAGGTTCACTACCTCATGTCTCCCTTGAAAACATGCCAGTGTCAGTGCTGTATTCCTATTAGTYTCAATCTGGGCATTAATGTCACTACCCATGTCTAACAACAACTTGACRGCAGCAGTATGTCCATTCATAGCAGCCAACATCAAAGGAGAAATACCAAGCTTGCTTCCTGTGCGAGAATTGATTTCGGCTCCATGGCTGAGGAGAAGCTTGACTATTCCAACGTATCCTCCAGATGCGGCAAGGCTTAGGGGGGTGTAATCAGAGACATTACGGTGTTCAAAGTTGGCTCCCTTTGCAATGAGGATTTCTACAACCTGAGAAAAAATATTTCAACATTAATCACTAGAAACTGGTTTTTTTCCACAGCTGGGTGTT